TAAGAATAACAGATTTCTTATCAAGTTCCATTGAAGTGCTGAGGATGATTTGGTGGTAGAACACTTTCCTAGTATGCATAGGTCCCTGGGTTTGATCTCCACATATATGCATGCATACAAGTGCACCACACATAAACACACACACATTTTCCATTATATATGATTTGTCCAGGGTTGGATTACTATGCTATACATACATATACACATCTAGCAGGCCAGCAAGAGAATCTTTACTTCCTTAAATGCACATTTCTTGACTGTAGAAATAAAACATGGATAGCTTTAAAGAACTTTTCTCTTGCTGTGTAATTTTTTCTGTGCAATAAGGTAAGTTCTGTTAAAATGGAATATTTCATTATAAGCAGGAAGGCCAAAGAGATTCATTAGAGAACCAGTCCCAAATTCCAGGGGTTCCATCTAGCTGAAGGAAGATAGAGAAATGAAGAACCACCATGTGCATTCCTCTTGCTTTGCTGATATGAATGTTTCCTCCCCTGTTATCATATATCCTATTACTATGACTCACAGATTAAGAGCCAAGTAGGCAGGTAGACCTTCAGTGAAAGCAGAAATGGAAGCGCATTAAGGATGGGCCTTGGTAACTACAGATTCATGATGTATCATGATGTGGTAAAATGAATACGGACTTTGAAAGTAAGAAGTCTGAGTCCTCATTTAGCAAGCGATATTCCTTGCTGTAGAAGTAAACTTCTTCATTGAATAAATGTATCGTTACTGGTGCTAGTAGCTCCTGCCTATAATTGTAGTTATTCAGGAGGCCTAGATCTAAGTAAGGATCCCAGTTCAAAGCCAACCCGGGAAGGATCATTCATGAACCTCATAGCTCCAATTAATTCCCTGCCTCCCCCAAAGCAGGAAGTGGAGCCGTGGCTCAGGTGGTAAAGCATCAGTCTTAAGCAGGGAAAGCCAAGCAAGAGTGTGAGGACCTGTGTTCAAGTGTCAGTACTAGCACACAAAAAATTGTAGAGTGATTATCCAGAAAACACAGCCCCTAGAGTTACAACAGCCAAGTAAGTGAGACATGAAGGTGCTAATGATGAAATTTCATTTTACTCCATTACCTTCTCCAAGGCTGTTTTCCTCCTATATAAAGCTGGAGCTAATAATAATAGTTCATGAGGAGATCAAGAGCTATGAAGAATGAATGATTTAATGTATGCAAAGAAAATGCAAAGGCCAATACAGTTGGCCATCTTTCCCCCAGGCTAGCAAATTCCAAAAGGAATTCTGAAGGTAGCGATGCGATGATGAGAAGGAGTTGTTGGGGAAACAGGCACATCCTTCAGAGTGAACGGCACGTTCAAAGGAGCATACATAGGAGGTAAGAGAACAAACATATGGAACCTGAATTCAGCATGCCTGAAGCATAAGCCAAGGAAGGAGCAGTCTAAGAAAAGGTAGTGAGCCAAGGCGAATGTCCAGCATTTCTCCATTTTAGCACCATGAGTATTGGAGGCCAGATAATGCTTGGTGAGGGAGGCTCTATCCTGTGCCTTGTGGGATGTTCAGCAGCACAGCCACTAGATGGCAATGGCACACTCCTAAGGTGACAGTCAAAAATGCTCAGAGATGCTGTCCCTCTGCGGATTGAGGAGTGCTGAGCTGTGGGGTTATTGTAGGGCCAGGAAGGCTACAAAAGGGCCAAAAGAGAAGCAGAAATGACTGCCCGGCATGCACTTTTAAAGTACACTATATCCCTAAGCTACGCAGGGGAGTTGCTGAGAGCTGACTGCAGAAAGTCCACTGGAGCGATGATGAAAGTTTGGAGTGACTGAGATGTTGCAAGGACAGAGGAAGAACAATAGAATTGAGAGGCGCTGGGAAGAGTGTAAGAGCAGCCAGCACGTTTATGAACATGTTCACTCTCCTGTTTTCTCAAGTTCTCCCTCAGGTCTTGAACTGGGCTCTTCAATGTCATACAACGCCTGATGTCAATGGATCTTGTCTTGTTCAGATTCTGTAACCTTTGCTTATTACTATATTAGAAGGGAATTCTTAATTCCACCTTTTATTAAGATTGACCTTGGAACTGCGATTTGAGGAAAATTTGTTACACTCCTTTCCAGTGAGAACCAGGCTACATGTGCCCCTTTTGACACACACTCTCTCTCTTTCTCTCCCCCCCCCTTTTCTCTCTGTATGTGTGTGTTGTTTTCTTCTGGATGCAAAATTTCTAGCAGCTTGTCAAATTAGCTCCTAATACCCCAATCGATCTCCATTTTATAAGAAATACTCAGGAAGAAATTTCAAGTTCAAAGGAAGAAATATAGGTAAGTCTGCTACACACAAAGCATCTGCTGATGTCAACAGAATGGTCTTCTGGTTATCTTGGAGAAAATCAACAATAGTCAGAATATATTCATTACCCTATTTAGTGGGCTTCAGCATGGTCTCATTATGCCCATCCTTACACTGTACAAGGCCTTTTCCATTAGCGAAAGAAGGAACAAAAGGTCATAGCTTTCCTGCAAGTTCTATCCACTAATTAGAGAAACCCTTTACTAGAGAACATAATTGGACCATTACTGAGTTCCTCTACAAAATGAAAAATACTCAGTGTCATTGTTGTTGGTTTTCCTGGGAGTGAGAACAGAGCATCAATAGATGTTGAAACAGTAGCAAGGTATTACTAATGCCTTTTCTAAATATGAATTCCCATCCCTGCAGATTCAATTACTATTCTTCATATTAAAAAGAACCTTCCTCTTTTGCACAACTACTTAAAAGATACTTAAAAAATAATGAGCTACCCAATAGAATGAAATAAAAAGAAATTTCCTGTTCAGGTAGTTATCTAAAATAGCTTCTGACCCAAAGTCATCCTAATATATATCTAAAAGTTGCTGTGGTTTGAATCTGGCTGGTCCCTTCTGAAATCCATGCTGAAATTGAACCTCTGTTGTGAACTATAAAGATGGCAGAAAGTGGTGTGCTTGTGATGTGGGGGGGGGGGGAGTCGGTCTTTAGGTGACTAGGATTAGATGCAAACAGGGGCACTCAAGATTGAATACTAGAGGCTTTATAAAAAAAAAGGGAGGTAGGGCTGGGAGTGCAGCTCAGAGGCAAAGCACCTACTTAGCATGCACACAGTTTTGGGTTCAATCTTCAGGATCAAAAATAAATTAAGTTAAATTAATTTTTTAAAAAAAATCAGAAGGGAATCAGAGTCCTTGCACCAGTTCAGAACTCTATCAGCAACCAGGCCATCACTGCAATCCTTTACATCAGAGACAAGAACCATAGTTGAACTAAACCTCTTTTCTTTAGATTTACTCAGTGTGCTGTATTGTGTAATTAACAACCCAAAAGGCACTAAACTACTATGAGACCATAGTCAAAGGCAGCTGGAGATAATATTGGTGCTGAGATGAAAACCCTTTCCTTCAGCAAAGACATAGAGGTTTCTTAATGCTAAAGTGGGACAATTAAAAAAACATAAAAAAACATTATCTGTATTAATAGGCAGCAACAAAATCAGTAGTCAAGAGCACCCAAGAGCTATAGGTGTGAGTTTGCATTAAGATGTCTGACTTAGGTTTCAAGTCTCTTTATAAAGACAGGCGTGTGTGCTAGACAAATGCTCTACCACTGAGTCTTAACCCATCTAGAGACGCCTTCTTTTATGATCTGCTTATGATTTGTTAGCAATGATTACATTTTTTAAAGATCCATATTGGAATTTGACCTTTATTCCAACTATATTGGGTATAAATAGTGTGGACCTACTATTTTTGCCAATGAGTGAAAGCAAGCATCAGATAGTGAGTTTGAATCCCAGTCTTGAACAACAACAACAACAAAAGAATCCAAAATTTTAGGTGGAACAGAAGGGGCAGATTCTTAGCTGAGGGTAGAGGCGAAAGGCAAAGGAAGTAGGCAGAGGCAGGCAGTACCTGTCATTGTTACCAGTTTGTGGCCAGTTTTCTGCTCCTAGGACATTGGGTGGGAGACAGTGCAGGTAGATTTCCTCACACCTGGTAAAATAAGGTAAATAAAATGAGGCACTCAGCCGCATAAGAGGAGCCATGGTAGTGCTGGGAAAGCCAGGGTAGGGGTTATGATGGTGCTGGGAAGCCATAGCAAGAAACTGCTAGACAAAGTTACAAAAGGCCCTAAGAGGAAGAACTTAGGATCAGAGGTCGTTTGTGGGCAGCCAATTCTACTCTGAGCAGTGGGCCTGACACCTACATTTTTGCTGGCACCAGATATTTTGCTTCTGTATTCTGCTTTTGTATTCTCTTGGCTTGCAAAACATAGGAGATTTGGAATGATTCCTTTTACATGACACCCCCCATTTTTGGGTATAAAAACATCCGGCTTGTGGCTATTTGGGGCTGCTCTGGGGTTCCTGATGCCTAGAAGTAGTCCCAGCCGGTTATAATTGGCTATTGATAGATTTCTTTTCGCTGCTAATAAATGACCTCACAGTTAAGATTTGGTTTTTGAGTCGGTGGTCTGTTTCCTGGGGATTTTCAACTTGTTAGACTGAGAAGAAAGAGAGACTCCATTGAGTTTGCAACTGGAGACATTTGTAAGATATTCCTCAGAAGCAGCCTCTTTGATTCAATAAACAAATAAGACCTCGCGAGAGAGCCTTCGATGGGAGGGAAATGAGGATTCCTTTTCCTCCCTAATTATCGATTCTGAACGCATTTTTTCCTGCTTTAAGGGACATTCCAAAACCACAGTAAATAAGGCAGCAGAGGGAAGACGCCACAGGAAGTTGATGGGGTCGGAATAGGGTAGGACCTGGGCGGGATGGCAGAACAGTCGGCTAAGGCTGTCCATCCACTAGTATTTTCCTGGAACCGACTTCATCTAAGGACCCTCAAGGGTTCATTCAATCGTCTCGCTGACCCTCGTAGGCTCGAACCCTGGGATTTAAGGCTTGCCAATCAAGGCCCGGAACCTTTTTCTTCCGGAACTACAGGCGGAAGTCCCTTTAGTTGCCTCCCGAGGTGACTTTCCGGGAGCACTTCCGGCGAGGGAAACATGGCTGCGCCCATGCCAGACTCACGTGTGAGTGCGGGGAAGAAACTGAAACATACTCTGAAGAAGAAGAAGAAAATGAAAAGGGTAACTCGCGCGGTCGTGTCGGAGCTGGAGGATGAAGCGGGAGCTGTTTCCGGGAGCGAGGGTAAGCCGTGGAGGCCGAGCTTTGACGGCTGAGGGGAACGCCGGGCGGTGAGGCCTGTGCTGGAGCCGTGGGCCCGGACTGCGCGCCCGGCGTGGGAGAAGGTGGGAAGGTGGTGTGGTGCGGGGAGCCGCTGACTTTCGTCATTTTGCATTCCTAATGTTTTATTAGCTATTGCCAGGGACGTCTTTATTAAGGGAAACGGGCGAAACTTAACCTGTGCTACGGAGACAGTTACCAGCAAAGGATGAGGGGAGGGGAGGTGGGATGTTTGAAATGGTAGGAGTGGATAGATCGCTCCCCAGGGGCGAGTAGCAGAAGGTTCAGAAGAGGCAAGCAAGGTATTTTTGACCAGTCCTGCTCATCAAGTGGATGGTGGCGTTTGGGAATTAGGGACCAGATAGTCAGGAGGGGGAAAAAAAAAGACTTAAGTGGTTAAAAAAAGGGGGGGAGGGATAAATAAAAATAATCTGTGATAACATCCTATCAGAGACGCTTGGTAATGAAAGAAAGGTTACATTTTGAGGCCTTCAACACTGATAGGTTGGCTGCTGCTTCTCTTTGGGTTACCTGTATTCTTGGCACCTGTCTTTCAGGTTACAAGGAATTGCAGGCAACCTTTTATTTCCTACGGACCGGTTACTGTTCCTTGTTCCAGGAGATAGCTACACAATTGGAAGAGTTAATTGCTTTTCCTGTTCATATATTTATTTGCTCAAGATAATCTAGTGGCTTCCTATCTCAGAATAAGGTTTCAGATCCTTAGCCTGCATGAAGATTTTATATTCTTGGTTTGATATTCTTGGTTTGAGGCATTCAGAATGTTCCTGTGCTGAGGTTTCTGCTTATGACAGCTTCACTGGAATACTCTTAAGATGTCTTTCTCACAGTCTTGTCAATCTCTGATCCATTCTCTCTCTTTTTTTTTTTTTACACTTTTTAACCCCATTATTCCCCACTCTCACCCCTTCTCAAACTGTTGGACATGTATTATATCCGTTTCATAGAAATACAGGTTACTGTGTCTCCCATGCCTACTGCATACTGGATTTCCCACAGGTATTTTAAGTAAAAGAATGAATGCAGGAGAAACTGTTGTGTGCAATTGGAGTTCTTAGGTAGAATTCTCTTCCTCTGCCAAAAGAGATTTGAAAAACGATTCATAGAGCAGGAATTAGATTATCTGATAAATAAGGTCCTAGGGATTGAACTCAGAGCCTGGGAGCTTTCACTGAGCTTTTTTTGCTGAAGGCTAGTGCTCTACCACTTGAACCACGGTTCTACATCTGGCTTTTTGCTGGTTAATTGGAGATAAAAGTCTCACATATTTTTTGCCTGTTCTGGCTTCAAACCATGATCCTCAGATCTCAGCCTTCTGAATAGCTTGGATTATAGATGTGAGCCACTGGTGCCTAGCTTTCTGGTAATTTTTGAACTCAAGAAAATTGTTAGCCGGGCGCTGGTGGCTCACGCCTGTAATCCTAGCTACTCAGGAGGCTGAGATCTGAGGATCGCGGTTCAAAGCCAGCCCAGGCAGGAGAGACCGTGAGACTCCTATCTCCAATACACCACCAGAAAACAGGAAGTGGCGCTGTAGCTCAAGTGGTAGAGCGCTCGCCTTGAGCTGAAGAGCTGAGGGACA